CACCTGTTTTACCCCTGCTTCCTGGTTCTCAGGTAGCGGTTATCTTTTTCTTCTTTTCCTTCCACCATCATATTTCTCCATTTTTGTCAAATAACCACTGACTTCAATCTCTGAAATCATGAGCTAAAATAATCCTTTTATTTTTAAATTCTGTAGTCAGGTATTTTGTACCTACTGCAAAAAATGTAGTAAAATTAACAGGTGTCTGAAGAAAATAAACTGCCAGATGTATCAACCCTGCTTTTAGATGTCTCTATAAGTGAGTTCTTTCTATAAATGCTCTTCATAAATTTTTTTCATATGAACATATTTCAGGGTGACTTCATCAACTCTGCATATTAGAGCCACTTCCCATGGTGACCATTAAGCAACTCTGAAAGGTCAAAGCCCCAATACATTTACACATATGTCACCCATTTTCCACCACTCTGTGACTTTTGGCCATCACGACTATTTCTAGAATTGTTCTGAGCACCTAGAGGCAATAGGCCAAAGAGATCTGCAGCCCAGGAAGGTCCAAGGGGATGGTCATGATCCTTCCTCTTGAGGTTCAATGTACATCACAGCTTTAAGTGTCAGTAGAAGGTAGAGATGCTATTTGGAGTCGCTGGCAGGCATCCATAGGTAAATTGCAGCAGAGGTCTTTAGGATTTTGAAATAAGCTTTTGCCATCAGGAGCAGACCACTACTCTCCCTTTGAAGAAACAGCTCTTGGCCTGCTCCTGCCCCTGACTGGAAACTGAATGCTTGACCAGGGAACTCCAGCTTACTGTGTGACTCAGGTTGCTTATCATGAGCTGGGTATTATGTGATCCACCATATCATAAGGTTGGACATGCAGAGCTACAGTTTCTCATTAAATGGAAATGGTATATACTTACTTGAGCCAGAGCAGCTCTCGAGGGTACAAGTAAGTTACATGAAGAAATGGCCATAGTAACCCAGAAAAAAGCAGACAATATAAACTTTAAGCCAAAAATGATCAAAAGAGAAAAGAAGATCACTATATTCTTGATAAGGGAAAACTCCAAGATCAGATAACAATCATGAATATATATGCACCAAAGACTGGTGCACCAAACTACATAAAACAAACATTAACACACATGAAAAATGAAATAAGCACTAACACAATTATCAGGAGGTATGTTATTAACCCACTCTCATGAATAGATTCATCAACTAGACAATAAAAAAAAAAAAGCAAGGAATATCAGAATTAAACCAAGCCGGCAAACAAATGGACTTCGTAGATGTCTACAGTGTTTTCCACCCTCAAACATAAGACTACTCAATCTTCCCAGCTGCACATGGGACATGTTCCAAAATAGACCACATATGAGCCCTCAAAACTTGCTTAAGTAAATGTACAGGAATTGAAATCATCCCATACACACTATCTGAAAATACTGCAATGAAATTGGAATTCAATGAAAAGGAAAACACAAAAACTACATAAATACATGGAAATTAAATACACCCTTGTGAACAATCAATGGGTCACAGAGGAAATTAAAGACTAAGGTGAACCATACTTACAATAAAAAAAACTCTAATACAGCACATCAGAACATATGGGATTCAGTGAAAGTAGACCCAGGAGGAAAATTCTTTTTATAGTGATGAATGAGACAAGAGAGAGACATAAAAGGAATAAGGAGAAGAAAGAAAGAAGAAATAATGATAATAAAATTATCATTATTGGCAGATGGCATGATACTCTTCACAGAATATCCCCCAAACTCCACCAAATGACTGGTAGATTAAACAGCTAACTTCAGTAGTGTAGGTGAAAACAAAGTCAGCACTCAAAAATCAAGTGTTTCTGTACACAGTAACAAACTCACAGAGGGAGAGATTAGGGTAAAAGCACCCTTTAGAATAGCACCCAAAAACATGAACTGCTTAGGAATCATTTTAGAAAAGAAGTAAATATCTACACATTGCAATTTCAGTGCTCTGAGAAAGGATGTTGAAGAGGATATCAGAAAATGGAAAGATATCCCCTG